ATTCTTATAATGTTTAACAGATAAAACTATGGAAATATACTGCAATTAGCAATAATAAAATTGCGCAAACCGTATTCTGAAGTATATACTGGGTCATTAAAAGAAAATTAATTAAGTTGTAATGGAATACATGAATAAATATCGATTCACCTACACTTCGTCTACGCTGTGTGTGTGTGTGTGTACATGATATAAATACAATAGATTTGAAATAATTTACAACTTTTATAGTTTACTTTCTTCTTGACTTAAAATATTTCTTTCATATCAAAATAACGCGTTCCTTCGAAATATGCACGCAAGCAACAGAAGCAAAACAAATATTCTTACACATGTGAGAAAGAAAATAAAAAAGATATGATAAAGTTTTATAACTTCGTATAATTCGTGAAATTCGTATAATTCGAAATTCTTTCATAAACCAAAAAAACAATTTTGTTGAAGTATTAAAAACTTTAGATAGATATAGGTCTGAAAATTTTGTTGATCATTAAAATAATTATAGGAAATTCAAACATGATAAGCAATATTATTAAAAGTTTTACATTCTAGCAACCAATTTGAATTACTTAATTATCTTGATAATCTAACAAAATTTATATTTTTAGATCTTTATCTTTAGCAAAATTGTTCTTTCCGTGTAGGAGACTATTTAGTAAAGTCCGCCTTTGCTCGCATGGATACCACATTTCAAGTGTCGCGAATCAACGAGATCTGAAACTGAAGCGTGCGATTATTTTAAAAAACTTCCGGAATTTGTTTTGCGAGATTAAGTTATACTTATTAATAGCGCTTATAGCACTGTCACGCTATTGCGGTCTTGTGAGTCATTGGAACGTAACGTGGCCAGTAATAATAGGGAGTTTTTGCAATAGCATTTATCCAGATACAGTGAATACTAAGGTCAGGTTATCTTCTTCTTAACAACTAATTAAGAAAAGGATAGCGTGACTTTAGCGTTCACCGTATCTGGATTCACGTTATTGCAAAAACTCCCTAATATCACACGAAATTACGGTGTGAGATTCTCTCGCGCAGAAAGAATTTAATCTCCATACAATTACGGGAATAATAATCGCTCGCAATGGTTGTGCAACGCAAGACTCGCGCGAGTTCGATACGTTCACGACTTTGAGGAACTGATCGCTGCCAATGTCCTAATTGATCCACGCATGCAGATGAATGTGTAACGTGTGGATATAATAAATAATGAATGAGGTGCAATGTACCTTCCGATCTAGCGCAGCTTCATTAATTATTCATCAAAATCTAATTTCAAAGATGAGGGGAAGGAAATGCTAAATGAGCTGATTATATTCAGAAGGAGAGTGAAATTTAGTTTTGAAAACCTTATCTCGGGATCATTACAGAATCGATTTAACATAAGTGAATTTTAATAATAAAATTTATCGATAAAAAAATATTTAGCGTTTTTTAACAAAATAAATCTTCTTGATATCAAAAAGATAGTCGACATTTTCTAAATCTTATATCTTTTAGCGAAATTTTAGTAAAATTATTTAAGAATTTAAATACCTAAGTATATATATTAAATAAATACATATTAGAAATATTATAACATTTCATGATCAATACAATTTTTATTTTAATATCTAAAATTAATCGAGCACCCCCATATGTTATAATTTTATTTTACGGCGATTTTAAAATTAAATTTCTCAAATATTTGTGTGATTATCACGAAAAAACGATAATCAACATTAACCACGTTGATTCCGCAATATTTTGAACGTTGATGGTTGAACGAGTGTCGAAGGTATTTTTATTATTAAAGCGCCTTGTCCCGGGACGGGCAGCCATTATGACGGCGAAGAAGGATGGTTCGGAGATTCTAATTTATTATCCCCTTGAGCTAACCCACGGTAGCTCGTCGATGTAAATCCCAGCACGATCGATAGACACACCTCGGCCGCTTCGACCGAAGGTGGAGGTTTATAACTAACCGGGGTGAAGGAACTCTTGAATTTTGCGCGACTGTAGATAGGACGGGAACTTCCTTGGCCTGTTCGTGTCTTAGCTGGCGAAGCAAAAACTTTCTGCGGAAGCGTACGTCTTTTCACGGATACCGCTCATATATTTATTCCACAATAAAATCGCCTGCTAGTCATCTGCGAAGGACTTCCAAATTATCTTTTAATAAAAAAATAAGAGTTCTTCAATTTTTTTTAAATAATCAATGTTTCATTTAATTTTCTGATCCAATTTCGAGTCGGCGATCGAGTGGATATTTGTAAACACTACGTATTTAAAAAAATGTTTTATAAAGAGGATTAGCTTATAAAGAGGATTAACTTCGAAATTTGCGTTATTTACGCGACAGGGAAAAAATGGTTCTTCAAATTTTTTTTAGATAAACGATGTCGCATTTAATTTCCTGATCCAATTTCGAGTCTGCGTTCAAATTGATATGACATTTGCAAATACAAAGTATTTACAAACACATGTTTTTTATCCTCTTTTCCAAAGAGGATTTAGCAACCGCGAAATTTACGTTATTTACGTGACAGGACAAAAAAGATTCAGATCCAAACACGGAGAAAGTTTCGACGCAGGGCAGAGAATTCGAGAGATTCTTCACTATTCGAGAGTTTCTGTCATTCAAGCAAATGACTTATGTTAATTCTCAATCGAGAGAAATCGTTATATGTGTATGCATATCATGGTTATACGTATCGTTAGTATGAATAATGTCTACAAAAGTACACAAACAGAAAGCGTTTAGAATTATTGTATTAACTTGATAATTTCATGATTTAAGAGGAGAATTATCCATACAATTTTTAATTCGAATATTTCTCGCATTTTATGGTCAGAATGACTGAGATCACTGCAGAAATTGCTGCTTTTACGTATATATAATCTGTTCAGTCTTTAGTTCTCTTTCTGAGAAGAGAAAAAAGCAGATTGATTAATCGCGACGACGTGCGAAATATGTTTGCGGCCACATGAAATAAATTAACCGACAGACCAACTGCCAAAATTAATTATCTCATCAAGAGTCACTCAGACTCACCTAAATCACGCGATCGCAATTAAGTCCAACGGTAAGTTTGTCTTGAGGAGCACTAAACGGGAAGTGAGCTTGGAAGCGTCTTGGAACGCTGAATAAATAACTGCGCAGTAACGCAACGGCCCTGCGATTTGCTTTGAGATACCCGTGAAATTACTGCAATACTATACACAGTACAACGAATGACGCGATCTACCGTGTATATATAATCATCAGAAATTCGATATACAGTCGTTGTAATAAGACATGACTTGACCAAAGCATGAGATGCCGGTAAATTGCGACAAACGGAATTGGCTTTTATATATATAAAAGGCAATAAATTCTTGTACAAAATTATAGCAACATTCAACCAAGGAAGAAACCGATTTTATAATCTAAGTTTTATCTTTGTATATAAGATATATTGAACTATAAACTCATTTTATTCTCGCAATTTAATTGAGTTCCAAAAGTGCGATAAAATATCTTAAAGATTTATTACAGTATTTTTAATTTGCGAACATTAAATATAATTGGACTTACATTATTAAACTTATAAATTATACCCAATTGAATTATTTTTAACCATTTCTAGGTCGTCACTTAATACTCACAAAGATAAAGATTCGAGCTTAGAAATAAATTAAAAAATAGCTTATACAGCTATCTCATAGCTGTAGAGCAGAGAATACTTTTGTTTTCTAGAAAGTTTCGAAAGAACTTTCAGCAATCAAATAAGTAGTTCGCTTGGACGTCTCCAGCGAAAAATTAGAATCGAGTATCGAATCGGAGTAATTACACGTGAAAGTTGAAAAGTTTCAGAGGGTGATGCAATTCCGGTCACTGCTATTCTTTTCAATATAAAACAATCACGTCACGAAAGTTTTTTATTCATTTAATAGAGAACGATGCCTCGGTTCCGTGCCGTCCAAGTGGATAGAGAGCGATGCCTCGTTTTCGTGCCGTTCAAACCGAAAAAATTCATCTTCTGATCTGATCACAACTCATTCGAAGCGCAACCTAGATCACGCTCTCGCAAGGCAAATAGCTTTAATTTTACATCGATTATATGAGCAAAAATAACGCGAATTAGCAGATAAACTCACGCGTGTACATTTCAATTGACGTATCACGCGACTCGTATAAAATGAAGAAATTTATAAATTCAACAATCGCCAATCCGCTTCCTCATTAAAGATTCGTGTAAATATATTATTCTATGATGTATTTAATACGCTTAACAATGCAGATCTAATTATCATATAATGATATAATGAATTAACGTTATTAATCACCCGTGCAGTAAATGTATATTTTTTAATTGCGTGCTATTAATCTCTCTGACAATGATTGCATTTAATTAATTACAATTCAAATAAAACAAACTGACGCCGTAAGTATAGCGGGAAAAAAGAGAAGGATAAGAAGAAAGAAAGGGAAAAAAAAGTTTAGCTGGAAATAGGAAACGCAGTTAAAAAGCGCATTTATAGTTTTCTTTTTAATTAAGACTTTAAACTTTGATGTATATAACCAAAGATTAATTTAACAAAACATTTCGTAAAAATAACTAAAAAATTGTAAGATATTTATTTCATTTGAAATCCATCCCAAAAATCTCACATATTAGATAAAATAAAAAGGAGATCTTTTATGATTATTTGAAGCTGCTTTTGAAAATTATATTTAAGTAAAGTATCTCGAGATACTTTGACAGTGTATTTACGTGCAAAAATGTTTATTTTTGTGAACAATATGAGATAATTAACTGACAAATAATCGACGCAGAATTTACTTAAACTGGAAATTCACAAGAAATATTATTATGCACAAAGAACTATCTTGATCGAGCGGCAGTTTTCATTCATGTGTGTTTAATCTCATCACAATCGATTTTCACTTACAATTAATATTAAAGAGAAAAAATGTGAGATATATCGATTTTCACGCACAATGTGTAATTAAATAGAATAATAAAATCAAGACTCACGCTGGTTCTCCGTTCTGCTCGATGCGGACGATGTTGCCGCTGAGAGTCTCGATCTCCTGCGGCCGCTTCACCGTGTGCACACCCGTTTTCTCCCTCGGCGAGGACACCCCTCTGACCGTGTTCACGCTCACCCCCGTGTCCGTCGACCTTACGCTCTCGATCGAGTCCGTGGACACGCCAGTGGACGATTTCAGGGACGCGTCGCTACCGCGATTCTCGTTCCTTGTTCGAACCACAGCATCACTGTTCACACCTGCGTTCACTGCACCGACTGCGGGATTCACATTGTTACTTTTTGCCACGTTGTTCGTCATCGTACTGTTGCTCATTGCTGTCGCGTTATTCACTGTCTTCGCCTCTTCGGTCGCTTTGACCTTCAAGTCGTTCTCCATCACCGTGGGCATCTTATCATTTGTTGGAACGTCACGACTCGCGGTTGTCTTGCTACCCGCAGAACCACTCTTGATCTCCGTCGTCGAAGCAGTTTTCAATTCTTCCGGAGCCTTCCCGTCACTTGGTCTGGGCCCGCGAGCATTCTGACTGTTTCTGCCAGAACGCTGATTGGCAGAGGACTGATTACTGGTACGCGATTCATCATTCATTCTAACGCTCTTCATAGATTGACTAACGCTACCGCTCTTTGAGTGACCTCCAGTGCTAACCTCCGCACCGACAGGAGAGTCCTTCTTATCGTTTCCAGGATTAATTCCAGGATGAGTTGTCTTGACCGACTGATTGTCGACAAACGGCGAGGACTTCTGGCTCGTCGATGCTGCATTCGGTATCGAAGGCATCGGCGACTCGCTTTTGGATGCAGAAGAAATAGAGGACTTGAGTGTTCCGTCGGACCGTTCCTTCTGCTGATTCGTCGTTGAGCCATCATTACGCTCCACGAGAAGTGTGTTCGCGTCGATGTGCAGTGGTTGCACCGCTGTGGTCGTCGTGGTGTTCACCAACCGTTCACTAGACGTGCCGATAGTCTGCGAAGTCTGCTTCAAAAGATCTATAAGATCCACATCGTCCGTATTGGCCGAGGAATTACCATTCATTTCATTTTCCTTCGAACTCAGTTCAGAAAGACCATTCTGAACTGATTGGCCTGCTTGTTTGTCGCTCTTGCTTTCTTTCGCAAACCTTTCCGTCTTTCCGATGCTCTGCTCGGGCATCGAGATAAACCTGCCGGTATTCGACGAACCGTTTGTTGCTTTGCTCGTCTTCAGGGGAATCTTTGATGGTGAAAGAAGGCGTTCCTTGCTGGGACTTCTACTCTGATTGTCCTTTCGAGCAGCGGCGTTGTTCTTCTGCGGCGACGTTGTTCTTCTCAATATCTTCGTAGGAGATTGTTTCGTGGTGTTCTTTCCTCTTATATTCGATCGAGGGGTCGTCTTCTCCGGTTTCGTCGGAGTGCCTTGGATCGGCGAGAGTCGCGTCGAGCCTTTTGTCGGTTGTCGGCGCGTCGCTGTCGAGTTATTATTGAGATTACTAGTGGAATTGGACATGAAACGAGTCTTGGTCTCGGTCAGATTCGTATGACTCCGGGAGTCGGATTTGTTCAAACGCGTCTTCGAGTCGTTCAGCCGCGACTTTGAATCGGTCGCGTTCAATCGATTTCGTGAGTCCGAGACATTTAATCGCATCCTCGAATCGACTCGGCGACCAATCTTCGGTGACGGCGAACGCTCGCTGTCCTTTGTCAAGGAGGTGGACCGCTGACGATAAGTCGGCTGCGGTATCAGACTTCTTCTGGGACTGTTCTGTTGCGACAACGACACTGCAAGACATAAACAAGTGATTTAACAAGGAGTATCGTTGACAAAAATCATATTTTGATGGTAGTAAAAAACACTGAGAAAAAAATTTTTTATTAAGGTAAAACGGGGTAATTTGAATAAGTTAACAGAAATTGAGAGAGAGAGAGAGAGAGAGAGAGAGAGAGAGAGAGAGAATATACGACCTCAATCTTTTATACAATTTGAAAATTTTGATTAACTTATACAAATTACTCTATTTTACTTTATTTGTGTATTATCTACACAGAGAGAAGTTTTTCTTTTTAAATTTACTCTGAAAATATGGTAGTTGTGATACAATACAATATTTTAAAGATTTTTACCATGCACTTCAATAAAATTAATCAAACTTATTTTATACCTTATTGTAATTTTAATAATAAATGAGAAATTTACATTAAAAAAAAAAATTCTTTCAAGTACAATGTTATCCCATGACTATCATATTTTCACACGGAAAAAAAATGTTTCTGGCTATAGCTAATTCTGATTAGCTGAAACTGCATTAGCTACTATAGCTATGAAATTTGCTAATACGTACAAAGGATTTGCTGCTGTAGCTAATATAAGGACGTGATAGCAAAATATGCATGTCTGTTACAGATCGATTTATTTAGCAACATGAAGTTAGTTGTCATAGTTATTGGATATGTCCGTGTAAAAGAAAATTGTCTCTACCACAACTAAATATGGTTTGCTGAAACTGTACTTGCTACCAAATTGTCTATTACACAGAAAACGTTTGCTGCAATGATCAATACATCGACATAATAGCAAAATGCTTGTCTGTTACAATGATAATATTTAGACCTCACAGCTAATGGAA